AGATTTTGGCATTTCATTTATCTTGATCAGGATTCTCGTACCGTTCAAAAGTCTTAAGAGATTGGGGTCCTTCATCCATTACTTCTCTCTTTTTGGCGTGAGATCGTCGGGACAGAGCACTACCATCTTTATGTACATCAAAACCGACTAACTCGATTAACGTGAAATTTCACACTTTCAGATTCTGCGCAGTGTGTACATGTGCTAGTTTTTCCTCTCAACCGTTTGTTTTATTTGCCAGTCCCATTTACGAGAGTTGTGCCCTACTTTGATGAACATGAGTACGTCATGTATGCTGGGCTCCGGAAAACAAGGAAGAACACCAAATCAGCAGGAAGTCTCTATTCGATGCATCAAAGCGATGATGCAAAGAGCAATGAAAAGGCTACTAATTAAAATTCATCTGAAGTAATGATGTTACAAAAAATCTTCATATACTGATAATTTAACTGATGCGTTGGAGTTGTCATTGATGAATTTGTCCTTTAGATTACCAATGTTGATTTTTCTATGGTTCATACTCCTTAGAATGTGTGTTTCTTTCGCCTGAGGGAAGCCAAGATTGCTAAAACAGAGGCTTGCCGTTTTTCGCCTATTTTCTTTTTCTTTCCGTGAAAAGAAGAGCGGGGAACTTTGTGGATGCGTCTATGTGTAGGAGTAATTTAAGGTCAGTTAAATTTGGGAATCTGGAATGCTGTGAATCTTGACTTCAGTTTTTCGATGGACCATAATTCACGTAAATATTCGGAAGACAGCTTGTCGAGCTTGCTTTGATATATTTATCAAAGAGTGCTCGAACCTTGCAAGAATTCACAATGCCGCTCTAAGAAAGCCGTATTTACTGGACAACCGACTATAAATCCTCGGCGTTTTTCAAAAAGTGCCTCACATCATGCCTTTTACAAAGTAAAAAGGTCATCGAACTTGAGTCAGGTGTGCATCTAATTGCTATATATCTCACTCACAGTTGAATAAATACACTTCCGCCGCCAGCAAAGGACACTAAACCACTCAGGGGCGACGTCAATCCAGTTTATGGGTCCTTCGCAAATTCAGGCTAAGATTTGCAAAAAGGTGTGTGTGTTTCAAGAATGAAAAACGCGGTTTTTTGCTTCAGTAATTACATAACAATTCACTTCAACTTTTAGGTGGCAGCAAATGGACAGCCTTGGAATGCAGTTCGTGTCCAAAGCATAATTATCAAAACAAAGAATCAAGTTGAAAATCTTCAATGTTTATAGAACAAAAAATTTATGGGTATATGAGTATTATCACAATGTTAACCGATATGTGGTCATCTTGATTAATTTTTCAGACATTTGCTTCAGTTCCTGATCATCTGAAGATCAGTGAGTCAAACATTTTACAGGTGACTATATCCATGATCTGTTTGACGGTTATCTCTTCGCCACTGCTCAAGAATTTTACAAAGATGGGTACCGCTCCCTGAGTGAGTATTTTGGACACCGAGTTTGTCAAGAAATAGGAAAACACAAAGGAAAATTTCCGAGCCAAGAGTTCGAGACTTGTTGACACTGTGATTTTGATCATCCTAGCTAACCGATCCATACATTGGCGCCACAGATGGCATCACCTTGTCTGTTTCTTTTCTTTTCTTCTTCGGGCAGTTTCTTAGCTCGGAGACGAGTGAAAATTTTTGTGCAAACAACGCTCACTTTCAGACTTTCAAGATATTCATCATTTGGTTTTTTCAGATGTCCCGCCCAACGCATGAGCAATTCTACTATGGAATTGATGAGCAGGCTCGTCGTCCTAATTCCCGTCAAACTCCAGAACCACGTCAGAAAGGTACATATCCAAAGAAATCAAGAAGAAGTGTGTAGCTTTTGTAAGAGCTATGAAGTTGTATCACCATAATTTTTAAGGATTCCACGGACAGACAAGACTGATCACCGTGACGCCAGATGCCATAATTCCATCAATAAATGAACCGATAGAAGCTAGCGGAGGCTCAAGAAGGCGTCGAAGCGATTTATTTGATGTTAGTGGAAATACTAATGGTGCAGTACAATTCTAAATAACGATTAATCCTTTAATATTATTCAGGCAAGAGGACGTCGTCAATGTGTAACTTGGGAGACGATGACAGACGAGGAACGTGAAGAAGTTCAGAGAATGAAAAGGTTTAACTCTTTGGGAAATTCTTTCATCATCCATAGCGAGGCGATTCAGAAAAGATGAAGCTTACAAAACGGCTCTATGCGACGCTTTCAAAAAATTCGGTTTCTGCCCTTATGGGGAGGGTTGCCGTTTCGCTCATGGTGACAGTGAGCTACGCCTTCCTGCTCAGGTAAAAAATAGTATCTTTTAACCATTTCAGTCAATGTTGACCAGAATTGTAGCAAAATGTTATAGCTTTATTATAGCCACGTGGAAAGGCACACCCAAAGTACAAAACACAGTTGTGCGACAAGTTTTCCACTTTCGGACACTGCCCGTATGGACCTCGTTGCCAGTTCATCCACAAACTAAAAAAGGCAACACATTTTTACAAGCTCAATCTATTTCGTATACAGGACTATTTTAGGGATTGCCCCTGATCCAGTATGAACGTCTTCTAGCTGCTGGGCAAATTTCACCAGAAAGAGAAGATGAAGCTCGCGCACCTCAGAGTCGCCGATCATCGGGCATGAGCCCAAATAGGTAAATATCTATTTCAACTTATATGCTCATTATTTGAAGCCAGATCTCACAGAAATCGAGCGGATGCAGCAAGAAGATTAACTTTTGAACGTGAGAACTCATTCACTCCAAGACAGAAGATACCAAATGCGATTTATCCAAAAATGGAAATCATAAATATTGAACGTGCTTGCAAATATGCTGACGACATCGTCGAGAAAAGTAAGCTAAACTTTCCCATCGTTTTTTGCATCAATTTCTCTCCGATAGTCTCATTTTATGATTATTTATATAGGGATAAATTCTTAAGATAGCGGCAATGAATAATAAAGCAATGGACAAAACGAGAAGGATTTCAAAGATTTATGAAAGAATCTCCTTGAGAAAATGCTGTACAGTTTCAAGTCTAGTGCGAAAGCTACAAAATGACGAAGCACTCACTCCTTTGTAAAAAAAGAAATTCGTCTATTGACTAACTATGGCAAAATTTAGATTTATTTTTTTT